TCTGATGATTTGGGCTGAGGTTCCTACTGAGGAATACTTGCAACCCATCTACTGAAGACGCGAGGAAGATCAGCCAGACTGATAAAATTTTGTGTCCAAAGCAAACTCCATTGGAGCAGCCACTTGAAACTGGTATTGAAATTGCTGGTTTTGAACCATCTGTAGTAAAAGATAAGCTTGGTGTGGACTTTATGCAAAATGAATCGAAATGTACCTCTAGTGGGAAATTGGTGCCACCTCCTGAACTTGTGAATGATAATTCTCTTCCTGAAAATTCAGGACTGCGTGAAATTGTTAGTGGTATTCCAAACACCGGACAATTAGGGTTACTTCCAGGAAATATTGGAAGTCATGAGCAGTTGGAATCACGAGCTAAGAATGTGAAGAGCCCCAAGAACTTGGAATGCAAGGATAAAAGAAACCCAAGATTTTTAAAGAAAAAGTACATGTTGAGATCTTCAGTGGACAGTCCTAGAGCTCTACGCTTAAGGTCTCGAGAGAAACCTAGAAAACCTGAAGTAAGTTTTTCTTTGGCTGGTGCCAGTTCTGCGTCTTCTAGAAGGGAGAAAAAAAAGAGAAAGAAACAGAAGAGAACAGTTGATAGAATAGATGATGAATACTCAAAGATCAGGAAGCATTTCAGATACCTCCTGAACCGGATTAACTATGAGCAAAGCCTGATTTCTGCCTATTCTGCGGAAGGTTGGAAAGGACTAAGGTGTGTCATTTATTTCATCCTTTATCTTTATTAAGGAAAATTTTATAGTGTCGGTATCACTTTGGGGTTTTAGTTAACAATCAATGTGATCAGTTAAATGTTAGTTTCTCTAATAATATTTGTAATTCTTCATAATGTTGCCAAGAAGATGAGAAGGAAAAAATATTGAGGTATGTTATGACCACACAGAGTGGGGCTAGTCCTTCAAAATTTAACCTTCTGTTTTCTTAAGGAAGCAGTTAATCTTCCCATTTCGCTCATGGTATTGGTAATTGCATCAGAGATACATGAATAGTGCTCCATTGTTGGAAGTTGAATACATCAGCATAATGTTAAAGTCTTGAATGTAATATTACAACCGTAGAATGTAATGTTAGGAAGCCAATACTTGCAACCATAGAATATATAATACTAGGAAGCTGATATTTCCGACAGAAAGAATATACAATGCCAGGAAGCCTTTTTATTTTCTAATATTTATTTAATATTAAATTAAAATGCTCTCACTGCAATTATTTTTCTTTCCTTTGTGTTTAGTGTATACGACTATTGAAATGATCATGAACACTCTAATACATCAAGGTTTGGAAATTTTCTCCAGATCCTTGCTTTGAGGGGGAAAATCGTTTTATGTCATGAGAGCTTGAGATTTATTTCTGTCACTTATCTATTGGTCCTCGTAAATTTAGCTTCCTATAGAGTAGTTATGTCTGATTCAGCTTTTTTACATTTACAAAAATCTCTCAGCCTAGAAAAGTTAAAACCAGAGAAGGAGCTTCAACGTGCCACATCTGAAATTCTTC